ATTTCTCTGGGGTAGTGGATTGTAGGCTGGTTATCATTTGCTGTATGTTTAATATCCACTTATGAGTGAATAAAGACCAAGTTTGTCTTTCTGTGTCTGGTTTACTTCATTCAGGATGGTTTCTTCTAGTTCTAACCATTTGCCTGTGAATTTCAAGATGTCACTGTTTTGTACTGCTGAGTAGTACTCCACTGTGTAAATGTACCATATTTTCTTTATCCATTCTGCAGTTGAGGGGCATCTAGGCTGCCTCCAGGTTCTGGCTATTACAAATAATGCTGATATGAACATAGTTGAAGTGATGGCCTTGTTGTATGAATGTGCATCCTTTGGTTATATGCCCAAGAGTGGAATTGTTGGATCTTGAGGTAGATTCATTCCCATTTTCCTGAAAAATCACCATACTGATTTTCAAAGTGGCTGTACAAGTTTGAATTCCCACTAGCAATGGGGGAGTGTTCCCCTTTCTACACATCCTCTCCAGCAAACTCCTGAGTAAATTGAGGGTATATGGGGCAGAGGTGGGATGTAGGAGAGAGAGAAAAGGAGAAGGATGTGGGGAGGAGAATATGAGGGATTAGGAAGGTCCAGTTGGAGGAAAGACAGAAGAAGAGCAAGGTTTTTTGTTTTTGTTTTTTAAATGGAGTGTGCTGGATGTCTCTACAATTTTGTTCAAATGACTGCAGAACCTGGAAAAGCTGTTGCTGCTATTGATGCATAACATATTGCCATTATTGCTCTCTCTCCATACATATGAATTGTGGCTATTAGGCTTCAATGTGGGTCTTTTATCAATGGGGAAAAGGTTGGTTTAAAGATATAAAACTGCAGTTGGACAAGAGGCATGGACTCTGTGAAGTCTTGAGGCCTATGGAAAACATCAAAACAATATGCTATATTTTAAAAGTTGTGAGATAGTATACTTTAAGTGTTCTCAAAACAAAAATGATGAATATATGTGATATAACATGTTAACTGGTTTAATTTAACCATGCCATTGTGAACATACTGTATTGTGTATCATAATTGTGCATGACTTTATTTATGAGCTAAATAAATGAATGGAAAAAAAGAAGAGCAAGGAAAGAGATACCTAGATAGAGGGAGCCATTATGGGCTTAATGAAAAACTTGGCACCAGGAAAATCTCCAGGAATCCACAAGGAGGCACTAATGAAGAATCTAAGCAATCCTGGAGAGGCTACCTTAAATTCCATTCCCCTATAATGCAAATGATGACTACCTTAAATGCCATCAGATGGCCTTCATCCAGTAGCGATGATTCATGCAAAAGCAGAGATTCATAGCTAAACACTGAGCCAAACTCCTGAAATCCAGTTGTAGAGAGGGAGGAGTGATGAGCATAAAGGTCAAGACCATGCTGGGGAAACCCAGAGAAACAGCTGACGTGAGCAAGTGGGAGCTCATGGACTCTGGACTAATAGCTAGGGAACCTGCATAAGACTGAACTAGGCCCCTGAATGTGGCAGTCAGTTGTGGGGCTTAGACAGTTGATGGGGCCACTGACAGTGGAACCTGTATTTATCCCTAGTACATGAGCTGGCTTTTGGATCCCATTTCCTGGGGGGATGTAGTCTCTCAGCCTAGATACAGGGAGCAGGGCCTAGGTCCTGTGCCAAATAATGTACAGACTTTGGTGATCCCCCATGGGAGGCCTCACACTCTCTGAGGAGTGGAAGGGGGTGGGATGGGGAGATGTTGGGGGAAGTGGGAGGATGGTAGGAAAAGGGAATGGGGATTGGTATGTAAAATAAGATTGGTTTTAATTTAAATAAGAATGTAAGTCACCAAAAAAGTCAGATAGAATAAAATAACTGATTGACTTTTCCTCTGAAACTCAGTTGAATGTTCCTATTTTTAATAAAATTAATGATAACTTGATCATTTTTAGGCATAAGCTCTTATTTTTCTTCTAAATTTGTACATGAACATTACATTTTTTGCACAAGATTCCTTAAATCTCAGAGTTCTTTACTGACACTAAATATGCATTTTGCCCTCTATCTATTCTTAGCAATCTCAAACTCCGTACACACTAATTTAATTTTTCCAATTTTGTTACACAGTACATAAAAGAAAACAAGAGCAAGGAAGCAATAATAACCTTAACATCATGGATAAAAGTGGACTGTTTAAGACAAAAAAATACTCATGAGTCTGTGTCCTCGGTATTTTCATTAGGTTTTGGTAGTGAAAAGTGAGAATCATGAAGAGAGTGGGGTAAAGTATATGAGAGCTTTACTTGAAAGAGCTTGAGTGTTGTAGGTTATCTGTATTTGGTGAAGAATAATCATTCTCAGATTCTTTAGCAGCCAATTCTCAGTTTGTCTCAGCCATCCCATGTGAGACAATTTTGTAGCCTATTACTCTGTGTTTTTGTTTTGTTTCACTGATACAATTAATGTATTTCTATTGTTATTTTTGTAAGTGTTCACTATTTGCACTCATCATTTTAGACCTAGGGTGAAGTCAATGTTTAAAAAAGTAAATTTCCTCCAAGTGAATAAGTTGACAGACAAGGATAATATTAAATGTAATGTCTAGAAAAACAGCAATGGATTCAAACAGATATTTATTTGGGACTAGGCAGCTATAGCAACAAAGAACAAGGTAACTGAAGAGTGAATAATGTCATACAATACCTTTACAATGGTGCCAAAGGAAAGAGCTACATTCATACACATAGCTATAACAACAAAAGCATTGAATCCCAAATGTATTGAGATTTTTCAGAACATGGACAATTTGCAGCAAAATAAACTCATAGAAAAAATGGAAATCATTTCATGCCAGAAGATATAGTCAATGAATTCAAGTGTCTCACAATTATCTTACAATGATAAGTATGCTTTGAATAGTCTTAATTCCTGTAGTATCTCTACCAATTCACCTTATATCCTGATAAAAAAATTAGTATTCTTAGAGCAAATGGATTACCTGGTTGGATGTCAATTATCAATGAACTATTGTTATTTTTTCTATCCTATAATTCATAGCCTTCATAACAATATTATGTTTTGAATAAACTTATAGTTATTGTATGCATACATACACATATATATTTCTAAATATAAGCTGTTCATCTTGTATAGTATTAATTGTGTGTATGGATTTTGGACTGACTTTTTGACATGACACAACCAACTGATATTCATAGATAGTCTTCCTCATCTTAATTATGTAGGAACGCTCATAACTATGGGTATTCCTGTTTCCTGATCAAGTCATCATGGGTTATTTGAGAATGTTTGTTAAATATGAGTCTGTGGTCATACCAGGGGTATTTAAAATCAAGTTTCCTTTATGACTTTAAGTTCTTGCCTTGCATTCCTACCCTGGTTTCCTCAACTGTGAACTGTGATCTGAAAGCATAAGATGAAATAAGCAATTTTCCCTGCCATAAGTTGCTTATGGTGAAAATGTTTTAACAGAGTAACAGAATTGAATTAGAACAATAATATAAGCTATTTGCCTATATGCATGTGTACACACACACACACACACACACACACACACACACACGTGCATTCAAACAAATCAAAATATAGTATTTCCTCACATGAAGATAAAACATTTCCCAGAATATACATTATTTTTTTCTTTTTTCCAGATTTTTAAATTTGAATTAGAAACAAGATTGTTTAACATGACAACCCCAGTTAACTTCTCCCTCCTGTCTTCCCCTACCACCCCACCCAACAAAAACCCTACCTATCACATATCCTTTCTGTTCAACCTGTATAGTGAGGCCTTCCATAGGGTGTCAGCAGAGTCTATTGTATCCTTTTGGATAGGGCCTGGGCCCACCCCCATGTGTCTTGGCTCAGGGAGTATTCCTCTACGTGGAATGGGCTCCCAAAGTCCATACCTATGCTAGACTAAGTACTGAACTACTACAGGAAGTCCCGAAGATTTTGGAGGTTTCCTCACTGAAACCCATGTTCCTGGGGTCTGGATCAGTCCCATGCTGGTATTCCAGCTATCAGTCTGGGAAAATAAAGTTCCCTGATGTTCAAGTCAGCTGTTTATGTAGGTTTCACCAGCCTGGTCTGGACCCTTTTGCTCTTCACTCGTCTGTATCTGGATTCCAGTTCAGTTCGTTGAATAGTTGTGGGTGTCTGCTTCTACTTCCACCAGCTGCTGGATGAGGGCTATGGAGTGGTATATAATCAGTCATCAATCTCATTATGTGGGGAGGGCATTTAAGGTAGCCTCTCCTCTGTTGCTTAGCTTGTTAGCTGGTGTCATCTTTGTAGATCTCCAGAAATTTCCCTACTGCCTAATTTCTCTGTAAACCTAAAATGTCTCCCTCTATTATGGTATCTCCATTCTTGTTATCATCTATTCTTCTCCTGACTCAACCTTTCTGCTCCCTCATGTCCTCTGCATCTCTCCTCTTCTCCCCTTCTCATTCTCCTAGCTCCCTTCCCCCTCTTCCCATGCTCACAATTTGTTCAGGGGATCTTGACCCTTTCATTTTCTCCAGGGGACCATGTATGTCTTTCTTAGGGTTCAACTTGATTACTAGCTTCTTTGGCAGTGTGGATTGTAGGCTATCCTTTACTCTATGTCATTATTATATACAGTAGGCTCCCAAAAAAGCGGGAAAGAAAAACTTTTCCATGTAAGATTAGAAAGTACTTGAAGATAAAACAAACTGAATATGAATAACAACTAAAAACAATAGAAGGAGAAATTTATGATGTTTACCTTTTAGAAAAGAATGTAGATATGTTTGCATAAATCTATTATTTTGAGGCTATGACAAGAATGTGGTAGCTCAAGGCCAACATAATCTACACTGTAAGACTTTATCTCAAAACCTCTATTCCCACTCACATGGTGCCTAGAAATGAATTTACTATTCATCATTTAAGCAAAAATTTCAGGTTGTGACATCATTAACAAAAGCAGATATTATAGTCAGTGAATTCAACTAGGCACACAAAAAAACAAATATTATAAAATCTCAATCAGTTGTGCAAGCTACAAAAAACAAATTTATTGAAGTAGTTCACAGAATGATGGGTTACTAAAGGCTAAATATCCGAAGAAAGAGATACATTTGTTAAAGAATACAAATTTTCAGTCAGCAGGATAAGTAATTCTTGGAGGTTTTTGCTCAGCAAGGGACTATTTCACAATGTAGTAATATATGCTTCAATTGCTCTTCAAAATTAGATTATAAATATTTTCATCATGAAGAAATGATAAGTGGCTCTTGAAGAGATCGGAGCAAGATGATGAAATAAGACTCTCCAGTGAAAATTTCCCTGCAGAAACATTAATTTGAAAAAGTGTTCGTTTAATAAAATTTGCTCACCATCTACAGAATGTGAGACAATCTAGACCAGCAATTTATATGCAGTATATATAGTACAGAATTATCTCAAAGTAGCACAAATGTTCAATAAACAAATAAAAATATTCAGTGTATTAATCCATGAAAAATGTGTAAATCAAATTTATCCTCATTTTACCCCAGATACCACCAGGACAATGAACACAAGCCAGGCATGGTTGCAAGCACATTTAATCCCAGGATTTAAGAAGCAGTGGTAGGAAGATCTCTTGAGTCCTAGGCCAGACTGATCTGCAGAGTGAGTTCAAAGGACAGCCCAAGATACACCATGTCTTAATAAACCCAAAACCAACTAATCAATCAAACAAACAAACAGGAGACAAATGTTGAGGATTCGGTAAAAGAGGAAATCAACACTCTTGGAGACACTGTAGATTAGTACAGCCACTGTGAATTTTAGTTTCCGGATATTGCATTTGTAAATTTTTAGTTTAATTTACTGAGCAATTAGTGTCCAATTTATACAATCCCGAGTTGTGCCTATATAATGTAGTGTACTCCCTATCATGTCTGCTAGCAGTTTCAGTTCCGTATTTTATACTGATTTCTTATTTCCATTTGGCACTGTTTTTTTTTTTTTTTGTACTAGATCTGAGATTCTTTAAATGTCATTCTTCTACAGTGCAGATATTCTTTAATGCATCTGTTGAGATTATTATGTGATATTTGTTATTTAGTCCATTTCATGAGTTATTTTATTTACCATTTTTCATGTATTAGAGCATCCCTGTATTGCCAATGCCAAATTGAACATGGTAAATTATTTTTGAGGTGTGTCAGACATGTTTGCAAGAAAGTATTTTTTTCTATATTAATAATGAATATCGGTCTATAGTTCTCTTTCATACACTTTCTCCCCCAACACTGCTATTTCACTATGCTTTCATCTGATAATGATAAACCTTGGTGTCACTCAACATACATCAAAGAAGTCTGTTCTTTCAGTAAACACTTTTTAAACTGGATAGCATCTTGTAAACTTAAACTTGGACCCTGTGCTTACATCCTTTCATTTGATGAGGGAAATAATTGTGTCTGTGCTCTTGCCCTCCCTGTTTGTTTGTTTTGCATTGTAGGTTTTCTCACGTTCCCCCATGCATCAGTCCAGTTTCCCATTCAGCTAAAGTATAGGTGGATGTACATCTTATTCTTGTTTCCAGTTAAATTTCATTTCACTGTGACACTTTCCTGAACTGGATCAACAACTTAAAACCAGTGGTCATCAAATTTCTCCATGATTGTTTCCCATTGAATTTGCAGTTTTACAGACAATAACAATTGTAGGGGTTTTTATGTCATATCCAAAATCAGGTTTGTACTTATTGTCAGGATACTTACATCTTTCCCAGCTATCACTGTCTTAGTAAACTTTGATCCCTGCAGCTTAGTCTTATAAAGCCTCTTGTTTTAGTATTTGTCTTTAATATGGGCATTTAATTTTTAACTATATTTTAGACTTGTTTTACAATTACAGATTAACAAATCTTTCAATTTGCTTCATTCCCAATTTCTACTTACTGTGTATGAGGTCATACAATTTTACTTTCAATTCTTAAATTTGTTATATTTAGTTATTTAGTACATATGTGTATTCATTGAGCCATCTTGCTGACCTTGATTTTCAAATTCTTTAAGTGTTTCAGTTATCTACAATTTTAATCAAAGTTTAAATATTAGTAATTTTTCAAATCAATCTAATAGCCTGAAAATTTACATATAAACTGACTACACATTAAACTCTAGCAATAAAGTGAAACTCATTCCTTTTATAAGTTTCTGTAATATAATGTTTTACTTCTGTAATGTTTACCTACTCAGCATACTAATTTGTATTTGAAGATAAATCTCCAAGTTTTTCATTCTTAACATGTTATTAGGTGCTTTCTGGAAAAACAGAATAAGGCTAAATTTTCTTAAGCTAAATTTCTGGCTATAAATTATAGTCCTAGTTTGGTTTCCTACTGGCAGTGATAAATACTATGACCAAAAGCAAGTTGGAGAGCAAAGGGCTTATTTGGCTTACACATCATGAGTTAAGGTGATCTTTGATGTAAGTCAGGGAAGCAACTCAGACAAGAACAGAGTTAGAAACCATGGGGGTAAGGAACTCACTGCTTGCCCTCCATGGCATCTTCAGCTTGCTTTCTTATACAGCCCAGAACCACCAGGTTCACAGGTGCCACCACCCACTTTGGGATGGGCCCTCCCATATAAGCCATCAATTCATAAAATGTTCCAAAGATGTGGCATTATCCAAACTGATGGAGGCAGTTCCTCAACTGAGGTTCTCTTTTCCCCAACTGACTTTAGCCTCTGTTCCATTGAGCAAAACTAACCAGTACAATGAGTGTCAGTGATAACTGACAGAAACATGCTTATTAGTTTAAGCTAAAGTGACTTTCAAAAGTTAAACAATTGTAAGCAAAGTCTTCCAGTTGTACAGATAGCAACACTACACTTGGGTTGTTTGCTATGTTCTTTTTTTCGCTGTTTTTCTTTTACTGGAAGTAGTTATTTTCATACAAAATATTCTGTTTACAGTTTCCCTCCCTCAAATCCTCTGAGATCTTCCTCACCTCCCAAGCCACCTGAATCCACATGATATCTCTCTATTTTTAGAATACAAATAGTCATCTGAAAAATGGTAACATAATAAAATAAATAATAAAAAAAACAGACGAGCCAAAACTCAGTTTTTGTCTGTAGGTTGATAGGTGAGTACATCTTTAATTGCAAAAACTTTTTAATGACATTGCAATGAAAGTAGACTTACAATTCCACTTAATTTCAATTCAAGAATGTTGGACCTCAGAGGATTTGTGTACCATGATGATGGGTGAGGTCCTTCTGTGTATATGATTGTCATATTGTTTGATAAATAAAGTACTGTTGGGTAATAGGAAAACAAGATAGGTGGGACTAGGAGTGAAGGAGGATTCTGGGAAAGGTAGGAGAAAGTGCAGAGTCACCATGTGAGCCCAGGAAGACAGGACACTTCTAATGGTTAATGATAAGTCTTATAAAATAGATAGATTTATAATAATTATAATAATGAGAAATCCTAGTCATTGGACAAGTAGAATTTGTAGCTAATATAGGTCTCTGTGATACTTGGGACCATAACGTGGTGGAGGGCAGAATTTGGGTAGCCTGGCAGAAAGTGCCCCTGTGGCAGCAGGGCTCTTCCTGTTGGAATAAAGTCTTATTGTTACAGAATGGTGTCAGGAGTACACCATTAGTTAGTACAGTGTAAACAACTTATGATATTCTAATTGTATTGAATTTTTTAATTATTAGATTTGCATTGTGGCATAATATATTAAGTGCATATCAATTTTCATGCCTCCTTTACCAGCAGATAATATTCAGTATTACTGTATGTGATTGTTAGTATTATTTTAAAAATTTGTAAGGGAGTCATATAAGTATGGTAAATCACTTTCTTACTAAAATGATGTAGTTTATTTTTATTTTTTAAATATCATTTTTATGTTTAAACCATGACATCTTGCTATTGTGCTTTTCTATTATATGGTCCTTCTCTAGAGGCTTCAGAAATAGTGATAGAAGACCATTTATAAATTATCACTTAGATATTGACTAACTCAAAGGAAAGATTTACCCCCTGTAATCCATGTACACATTTAAGGAAAAAGTACCAGTGTCAAAGATTGATGTAGCATTGTAGCATGACACATTTCACTTAGATCAATAATGTTACTTGCTGCAAGAGATTTCTTACTGAATTGAGTGCTAAATATATTACTATATCATAGAGCTCACTGACAATTTGGGGGTGGATTCTTGTTGAATTGTGGTAAAAAAAAAAAAAAAAAACTCAAGTTCCTAAGGATTCGTAGTATACAAAACTAGAAATATACATATCATTGGTATAATCAGATTTCTCTTTCCTGCCCTGTCCTATAGCCACTTCCAACTGATCACTCAGAGGCTTCTATTAGTTGGTAATGTTCAATTAATAGCTCAAGCTTATTACTAGCTAACTCTTTTATTCAAAATCAACCCATATTTCTATTTATGTTTTGCCATGTTGTTCATGGCTTGTTACCTCATTTTCTACACATCTTGTTTGCTTGGCGGTTGGCTGACATCTCTAGAGACTTCACTTCTCCTCATCGGAGTTTTCAGTTTTATTGTTCCTCCTAATTTTGTCCTTCCTGGCTATTGGTCAAACAACTTTTAATATTAACCAATGAAAGGAATACATATTCACAATGTAAACAAAGATCATCCCACAGCAAATAGTTACTTATCAGAACAATAGCAAGCAACTCAGCCTTCAAAGATAGACATTGTTCAAGAAAATTAAGCAAAAAACATTGTTAGTGAAATTATGCTTTTTAACCCCAACCATTAAAAATGAATATTAATAACTCAAATACTTATTATAACATGAATGTATAACTGTCTTATTAGAAAATTTTAATAGAATGGCATTGAATTTTTACTACATGATGAATGTTTATGCATATTCAGGATTTTAGTTATTTAATATCTTGATTGCTGTTTATATAATTCTTTATAAAATTTGTTCAATAGAAAACAACTATTTTGCTAAGCTTATCTAAGCATAGCTTAAGTAAAATCTGGAACACAAAGATGCTAAATAATGAATGGAGTAATCAGATTGGCCCTCTTATTATGACATATATGAATTTCTTTAAATTTCTTTTCTTTACTAAAAGAATAAGTCTGGCGTAACTCTAAAAAGTAAGACTGATTTAGGCCTAAGACAGATGCATTGTTAAAAATGGCCAAGTGATAAGGCTGATAAGAAGATACATCCCTGGCTCTGATTCCATAACTACATGAAGATTTGCTATAAATATGAAATGGCAATGGCACAGACATAACATAGCAAACAAGAAAACAAAGCCTTGAAGAAAATGC